ATAATTTTCTAGCCATCGCCAAGGTCATAACTGAAGTAATGGATACATACTGTATAACCAACTCAAAAGTCACTCATATATGTACTGACAACGCCAGTAACTTCGGAAAATGTTTTCGCACCTTCTCAAGTTCAATTACTTCTTCAAATCATTCAACAGCAAATTATGACATTGGCAATTTGAATTCTGATGAACCTGGTAGTGATACTATAGTTGACGATTCAGACTCTGAATCTGAAAACGGAGACGAGAATATTGAAAGAATTGATGTTGGTTCAATTTTTAATAATCAAGAAGTCCAAGAGCAAGATCATGATAATAGCTATTGTTTACCTAAACATATTACTTGTGTAGCTCATTCATTGAACTTAATTGCTACTGCTGATATTYCTAAAATTTCAGATGAAACCTATATCAGTTTATCTACAAAAACTTTTAACAAACTACAAGCGTTCTGGAACTTATTAAGTAGAAGTACCATGGCATCTGATAAAGTARTAGAACATTGCAACTGTAAATATCCTATTCCAGTCGTGACAAGGTGGAACTCAAAATATGATGCTATTAAAAAAATTTTGGAACATAAGAAAAAAATAGTGACACTATTTGATATTTTAAAGTTGAATAAACTTACAAGGTAATGAATGGGTATTTTTAGAGGAGTATTGTTTATTGTTAGAGCCATTAGCAAATTCTCTTGATAAGCTACAAGGAGAAAAACATAATTATTTAGGGTATGTTGCGCCCACATTAATAGTATTAAGAAAACTATTAATTCAATCAACCAATTTAAAGCACTGCAGACCATTATGTTTATCATTAATAAGTTCCTYAGAAAAAAGATTTAATTATGTATTTGATCTTAGTGATCCAAAAAGCAAGACATATATTATTGCATCTATAAGTCACCCTAAGTTTAAGTTATCTTGGGTTCCAGTTAGATACACMAATTTGTGTAAAAACATTTTTTTAAACGAATGTGAAATAATAAGTGCCACTATTGAAAATAAATCATCTGGGTCCACTGACAATGAAGATAGTGATAGTGATGGATTCTTCAATAGTTTATCTGAACGTTCTACTATAGACATTTGTACACCAACACAATCTCAAGACAATGATTCAACTGAGGATACTATAAGAGTTTCAAATGCTGCTATATAGTGTTCAAGCATTAACATTTTTAAATTCGAAGAAAAAAGATCTGGTGATGCTTGATCAATTTAAAGTTGTCAAGCAAGTTTTCCTTAAGTTTAATACAACGCTACCATCATCAGCTCCAGTTGAACGGCTATTTAGTGGGGCCATACAGGTTTTAACTCATAGACGTAACCGATTAAAAGACAGCACATTTTAAATGCTCTATGTTGCAGATCTCAAAAATGATCATTTATTATTTTTCTTATACACATTTAAAACTTTTTATATTTTTATTTTGCTACAATATGCCAAGATGGCCGAATTTTTTTAAAATTTGTTAATAGGTATAATTTTA